CGCCACGAGCAATGCCCTCGGGGACCGGCACAGGCAGCCCGGGCTTTTCAGCCACATTTACCGGCAACATCCCTCTCTGTTCTGTTTACAAATTAACTTGGAAGTCCAAACCCATCCAGGTCTGCCCTCACTGCTGCCATTATAAACTAGCAAAACACCCCCGGATTTACCCTAAGCAAATCAGAGCAAAGCGTGAGGACATTCACATCTCCCACACTTGCTCCTCCTCTGCCCTGAGCATCGTGGCCACTTTAAACCCGCGAAATAGTGGGAAAAGCGCTACCGAACCAGAGCTGCCCGCTCCCCGTGGGTGTCCGTGTCCAGGCACGGGGCAAGTCGCGGGAGGGCGCCGTGCGGTTTAGGGTCTTGGCGGCCCTGGTCCCATTCCCCCTGTGCTGCCTGCAGGAGGGAGGGGAAGGGGAGGAAGAGGGGGGTTTTCTCTAGTTTCACCGTAGGAAGGATTTTCAAACCCTATAAATTCACTTTTGACAAGCAAACGGCTAAAGCAGATTAACCTTTTTGCTAATCCTCTATAATGGCTTTGGAATCTCCTTAACCAATAAGAAAATGATAAGAGCCTGTTTCTTTCCTTTTTATCTATATCTATATTGTCCTCCCTTGTCTGCATTTTTTTCTTTCTTGTTTTATTTTCCTTTCCTTTTCTAATATGAAATAGCCCAGCGATCCTATCTCCTGGAGGCTCAGTAAACAGAACATCAATAATCCCCTTCCTTTATTCCTCTCCGGGAACAGGGTGCAGAGAAGTGTCTGCCGATCGGGATTTGATTACCAGCAGCTATCAAAAGTCTCTTTGTAAGATCTGGGTCCTAAATCCCATAATTCTTTGATAAAAGAAGTATTACCAGTCCATTTTCTGAAGTGAAAGGTATGGGAGAAATGAAAGAAAGCAATCAGTGGAGATACTAATAGGCTAAGTGCATGTGTGGTGGGAAGGCAGGGACAGGCAGGGGAAGCCAGGGAAAGACGTCCTTTGTTACGGGTAGGGAATAAGAATTAATCTGCTTCGGGCGTATGATTATTGCAGCAGGGAGCAGAAAGGGTCGGATCCTGCCTGCCCACAGCAGGTCTGATCCCAGCTTGCCTGCTGTGCAGGTGACCTGCCCGGTGCGCAGGAGAGCAGAGCCTGGCCCACATCCATCCTGTGTGTCCCTGCTTGGGTATTTACATGAAAGCTAGGGAGCAATTTGTAATGATCAGTGACACTAACTCAGTTCTCCAGTGCATCTCAGGTAGCATTTATGTCTTGGCACCGTAGTGATAAACACTTCCAACCAAGACGCTACAAAGACGTTTTTCTTTCAAGCCTACAGCAAATATTAGAGATTTATAGGACAGAGTTATAAATTGCATTACAAAATCAGAATAGCTGGAGGAGAGGCAAATAAAGAGGTGGAAGAAAATATAATGTTTTGTTTCTAAGTCAGATTTTAAAGAGATTGGGAGGTCGTAGGCAGAGAGGCTATTGAGCATCTGTTCCCAAGACTGGATGACCACCAGTGAATGAGGAAGGGCAGGCAGAAAGCAGGGCCAAAGAGAAAAGAAAGGGGACTGGTAAAGGGGACTTTCCTGAAGACTGGCTCTCATTTTCAGTGTGCTGCTGGAGATATTGCTGGGCTGTTCAACCTGAAGTCACAAGGCATCACACGGGCGTTTTGACCTGCCGTAGTTTCATTGCATTCACTTGTGTGTCTCCTCACCACACCACGAGTGTGACTGATATTTTGTCTACCCCACAAAGCAATACAGCATGGGAGAGTGTTCCCCATGCAAGTCCCCAAAGCCTCATGACCCACCTTAGTTTAAACAGCACTGAGGACAAGAAAATTTGGGTTTAAATATTCCTAAGCAACTTGAGCTCAAACACAGGTTCTCTATTTTAACTCCAACTACTCTGTTATAAACCCAAGCACCTTGTCATCACTGCTATTTTAATCTGAGGTATTGTTGTCTTCCTCAGTTAGGAAAGCTCCTTCTCTCCCACTGTGATGTACACCGTGGTGGCTGGAACAAAAAAGATTTGCTTAAGACTTAACCCTCTAAGACAAGTGATATTTCGAGCTGTGAATTTTCTCAGGCCATGCTGACGTGGAAGATGTCCTTCTGTGGTGACCATATATACCAGGCCTTGCTGCTCGTGCTGCAGAGGTTCAGCCTTCCAAGCTCCTCTTCCCATCCTGATTCACAGTTTAGTGACCTCTCTACCCTTGGACATAACCTCACTGGAGTTTCTGTTTCTAGGCAGAAGGAGACATTGGTAATTGAACTAACAAATCTTTGTAGATGTTTGGTCATCCCAATATAGTCATAAAATCAATGCTCAGCTATTTCTAAAGGCCAGCGGCCCAGGCAGTGTTGTATTAGGTGTAAACCTGACTGGACTGACCCTCAGGAGGGCTTTCTCTAGAAGGCATTGGGAATTTGAAAAGCTTTAATTTCCTGTTAGGGAACAGGAATGTAAGAGCCCTTGAACTCACACAAGTGGATCTGAGTGGGCATTAGCCAGCAGCAGAGCCTGGGAAAGCAGGGTCACATCCCACCCTTGCATGTAAGACTCTAGAGCTGGGTCTGAAGCCTTCCCACCATCAGAGAAAATCTTACAAATATGATCCTTAAAAACTCTTGACAGCAGAAAGCAATTCGGAAGAATGAAAAAGAAAACATTTTAACACGTCATGTCTGCCAATCTGTTTCATTAAACACTTGCTCTTGGCCATGCTGGGTAAAAATTCTGGCTGCTCTGGACTCACTGAATGGAGAGAGTGGTGCTTTCTTTCAATAGCCCTTGGTGTTTTCTTCAATGTTAGCTTGGGCATCCAGGCCACCTTCCTGCATGAGTTACTACAGGGCCTTGCTGTCTATGTTTGCGCAGAGGCAATGCTCATCCTTGCCCCTTCCAAACTCTGCTGTAACTCTGAGCAGAGCTACAGCTGATCTGCTGCCCTTGTGGGTGGCTGTACCGCAGGTGACTATATGCCACTAATCTGTGCCACAGAGGGGCTGTGAGCTGCCACTAATCTAATTTATTAAGGGCTTTGAATCCTTACAAAGTGTATGTTAGATACATGCAAAGCATCTGCATTGTTACTGTGATTAAAGCAATGAAGGTGGGGGAAAGGGGAAGGAGGGAAAATACGATTTCTGTGCTCTGAGCAGAAAATACATCAACTTTCACAGAGAGTTCTCGTGCAGCCAAAGGCTAGGCTATCACTAAAAATGATTTTTCATTAAGCTGAACTCTCTTTCTCTCTTATATTGTATGATATGACAGGTCTCTTTTGATGGGAAAGCTTTCATTTGGACAGAGAAAGGGATAATTTGCTTCTTTTAAGGAGTTAATCCTCTGGTCCATTTCCGGGCTGGGAACAGCTATCCTCCCCCTTCCTTGGATTGGAGGCTCCAGCACAATGGAGATCATAACCACCTCAAATCTACACCCGAGATGGAGAAATCAGATTTCCTTCTCGAGTCATTTCTGTGGGATTAGCTAAATCTTAGATCCACACTAACCCTTCACAAAGCTGCCAAGATTAGTTAGAATTTATTTTATTCACAGAAGGGTTTACGATTTTCTTTCCAAAGGGATTATATCTCTCTCTCTATATATATTTAGGATGGCTTCAGTCATAAAGCAGCTAGGTTAGACGGAAAGTGCATGTGTGGGTGTGTATAAAATAAAAACCTGGGTGCAAGAACGGCAGTCACTTCAAGCTCCAAGGCAAAACGGTGATTCTGGATGGCTTCGCTGGTCTGCTTTAAAAGTTATGTGAGTGTAAGCAGCCTTTTTCCTTGTAAGACCCCACTCCACAGTTAGTTCACAAGAGCCAGCGCCGTTCAGCGTTGAGCTGCCCACTCCCACGGCCGCTGCGCCTGGCACAGGATGTCTTCGGAGCCGGCGTCGGGCGTCGACTTCAGTAGGAGAGGCCTGAAGAAGCAGTGTTCATTCAGCATCGAGAACATCCTCTCCAGCCCAGCAGAAAAAAGCCCTCAGGTCCTGGTCCCACTGTGCCTTCAGGGGCTCTTGGACTGTGCACCCAAGGGGCTGTGTGAACTGGAGGCCGTCGCAGCCAGCTCCCTGCCGGACGAGGAGGAGGAGGAGGAAGAGCTGGAACGTGCAGGTTGCAACTGCTGCTGCTGTTCTCACACGAGCGCCCATTCCCTGCAGGACTCACCGAGTTGGCTGGGTGAGTGTTTGGGCTGGATTCACTGCATATGGCAGTGGAAGGGGCATTACAGCTGGTGCTAACACTGGGTAGAAGGGAAAACCTGGGTATATAGTAAATACAGTGTCTGGCCTACCACATTGCCACGGTGGTTTTCTTAGACCTCAGCTCCGGCAGGGGGTGGCTGGACCTGTTCTCAGCACTGCTTCTAAGAACAGGCAGTCCTGCAGTGCTACTGGGTTTTAAAAACTGCAGGTGCTATTTGTTACTAGGCACTGATGTTTTATTGTAGAACACTTACAGAGGGTGATGCTTCTAGGGGTGGGAGTTCTCTGTGGAGCATGGGCCCCACGGTCATGCTGCCAATGGCCAGAGCTGTGCCTGCTCTTCTTGACAATGCTGGCTGTGGGGAACGTCACTTGTCATTTAAGGGAAGGATTTTTTTGGCTGCATCTAGCAAAAAAAATGTAGCAAAGCCTTAAAAATGTGGTTCAAGAGCATCCTGAAGGCTCAAAAATCCCCCATTTCATTACTGAAAGACATTTCTTCTCTTCCTACCTGGTCTGTGGGTTTCCAGTGATTTTCTGGAGCTGGGCATATTGCGACTGCTAAGTAAATGAGGAAAATGCAGCCAGCACTTCCTTCCTGCATGCTTCTCCCGAAGTGATGCCGTGAGCCCTTCTCTTGCTTGCATCATGATCATGCAGCTTTTCACCCACTCCAGCTGGCCAGCTGCACCTCCTTCGAAGCCACACGTGTGGATCCAGCTTGCACCTCAACTGCCTTGAGCAGGATCTTTATTTCAGTCCTTTGTCCCCAACGGTGTTGACTGTAACTCTTCCTTTGCAGACGCCAGGTTCCCCTGGCCCATGCGGCTGTTTCACTCTGCGGTCAGGGCCTGTAAGAGTCCCCAGGGGAGCCCGAGCGAGCTGCAGACCTTCCACCAGATCCAGAGACGGACACGCCGGCATCGCACCATATTCACTGAGGACCAGCTGCAGGCCCTGGAAACGCTTTTCCATCAGAATCAGTACCCAGACGTCATCACCAGAGAGCACTTAGCGAACCGCATTCACTTGAAGGAGGAGAGGGTGGAGGTGAGATCCTGCCATTTGGTGAGGTGCCAGGATGAGTATTTTGCCATTCTGTTTGCTGAAAGCACCCCCAGGAGAACAGAGTCCTGGGCATTGTTCTGTCTGTTTCAGGGCTGCAGACCCAGGGCCTCATTTTAAAAACCACTTTTAGGTATTTGAGAAAACACAGATGGGTATTTGGCATGTAATGGAAGAGTATAAAACAGTTCTGCTGGCTTGGGTTATTTTGGTGGCCTGGCCCCATGAACTTTCTCATAGATATACCTATATAAATACACACACACACACACACACACACACACGCGCGCGCACGCACGCACGCACCTAATTCTGCTGATACAACTCTACACCCAAGGGTATATTCTTTTTTTCTGTGGCCTGCATGACTTTTGTATTTGCCATGGGGGTCCCAGCTGGATAGATCAAGTGTACTTTGCAGGAGATTTTACATTGGGAAATGCATAGGTGTATCCTAAAGCTTAGTGCCACCCTGTAAAGTCCAGGAGGGTAACTGCCTCACCTCTTCCAAGTAGCAAATGAAATGCAGAAATTCTTCCTTTCTTGTTCTTTGCTTTTCAGGTTTGGTTTAAAAATCGACGAGCCAAGTGGCGGCATCAGAAGAGGGCATCTGCTTCAGCTCTCATCCTTCAAGGCACCAAGAAATCCCCTGAGGAGAACTGTTAGTGGTGTTAGGCTGCATCTCAGCGGGTGAACACCAAGAGCATCGCTTTCCCTTAGCCATCAGATTCTGCAGTGGGGTAGCTTGAGGGGAAGTAATGAAGCAAAAGGGAATCGTCACGATTCTAAGAGGGGGAGGGCAGGTAAAAGCAGACAGTGTACTTTCAAGCCTTAGTTCTTCCAAACGTAGTTCATGCGGCAAATAAATCCTGAGGCATGAGCCTCAGATGCTTAAGCAGAAGCAGCTGCCAAAAGACAGTGCAGGGGCAGAGCTGCATCAGTGTTAAATATGTGTGCTTCAAGAGAACGGGGGATTTCCCCCAGCTTCTTTGCTCTGTGCAGGTAGCATTTGTGCTTGTTTTGCTACTATAGATTTACAAAATATTCAGCAAATGTATGTTCACGATTTGCAGCACCACGTGGCATGGAGAGCTGCCACTGGGGTCGATGTGGAAGCTCACTGACCGGGTGATTTGCTCCTTGAGCAAACAAACACGGATTTCTCCCTTACGGCCTGAGGGGAGAACAAGTAACTCTTGCCGAGAGCAGGAGTTCGGCTCGCCTCCTCGGCTCGTCCGTGCCGCAGCTCGGACTGGTAGTGCAGCTCCTCGTTAGCGTATTTGTGTGTGTGTGTCCCTGGCCGGCCCAAGAGAAAACACGTCCTGTAAAAGAGCGAGGTGAATAAAGCTATCCCCGACGCACGTCTACGCGCTGTGCAACACGGAGCGCAGCGAGGCCCGGCCGCCCTTACCAGCCCT